AAAATTGAAGGAGAAGAAATCTATCAAATCTAGAACCGATCTAGTATTCTTGAATAAACATTGCCTGATTTCATTTTTATTGAGGACAAAGGAAAACTGATGTCACCATACTTAAATTTCAAATTAAGCTAAATATTTGATGCTATCAATAAATAAAATAATAGAAAACAATACCTTAAAACTTAAAAGCAGAGTCATTTTTCAATTGGACAAATTTGTAACAATGAAAAGTAAATGTATTTGTGAGCCCATTTCCAAAGCAAATTTGAATCATAACTACAGGAAATGGCATGTCTTTGTGAAATAAAGAGCAGTTTACCTACATTAAGTGAAATGTGTGACCTGCAATTAAATTAAATTCAGGTCTTGAGCAGAATTAATGTACTACTGGTAGTTACTTTGAAACAGCTTTAAAGGATTATCATTTTCATTTAATTAAAAATTCATTTGTATCTTTACTATCCATTTATTTGCGAGCTTTTAATATAATTAACCTAAGTAAAAACAGACATGTCGTAGGACGAAAAACCATGTTGATTGAAAACCAGAGCTGTGCACAACTTTGAGCAAGGTTCCATTATCTTTGAGAGGACAAAGCTCTGAACAGTGGTTATTAAGTGACTATATGGTCTACAAGAGGACATAAACATGTTTTGGTCTATATATTCAAAAACTATTTTTAGATAAAACAATAAAACAAAATGCCAACATGCTTATTACTTGGGTAATTATAAGTTGATGATACTGTAAATGATTTGAAAAATACTGGTTGGTTTGTTCTTAAATCAATAGCTGGTGTTCAAGGAACTTTGATAAAGATACAGATAACCTGGTCAAACTGTTAGATCTTACAAGATTCAACAAACAGACGGTAATCGGAACATCATGGACTTTTCACAGCTCATGCAAGAAATGAAGTAACTATGGAAGACATAACTCAAGTTATGATTTGCAGGTGAAAGCATGATTCTGATGCAGCAGTTGCTAATTACTGTTGACAATTGAGCAAGTGTATTTTGCAGCAGCATTTTAGTAGGTGCTAACTATATAGCCCAGTTGAAAATAGTGCATTATCACATTTGGTGACCTCGTTTTAGGCTGAAGGTCTCTGAAAGATGACAAATATTTAGCAGAGAGTTGACCATGTTTGGACTTATTTATCAATAAATTCTAAAGAAGTGGTTTTGCCAAACAGGTGCCATGGTTTGCCTTCAGTATTAACATGGTTTGTCAGTTGAGTATCAATAGTGGTAGAATGAACAGAATTTCTTTCTTTTAGGATGCAAAGCAATGCATACAATCAAAATGTCAAAGAACTAAAAAACTTTTTTTAACGTTCCTTCATAGCATAGATTCAAAAAACTGTTTATTATGACAGACAACATTTTATTTACTTGTTTGTTTCTGAATGGTTCACCATCTGCCTTTACACTTGTTCTATTGTTCTTATCTATTGTATTTATTCTGCTTTTCTCACCTCAAGCTGGGCCTAGAAACTTTATTTATGTCGTTTAAATAGCTATGTTTTCCTTGCTTGAAAATGTGTTATCTTTTCTCCTTTATTTTGTATCCCTTATTTTTGCCCCAAATGTATGTAATAGTTATTATAAAAGGCTTACAGTTAAACATCAAAGAAACTGTTTTTTAATGAGAATCTAGTATTCAATATTTTAAAAAACTTAGGTGCTGTTGAATATATATAAAATATATGTATATATGAGTGGCTAGGAGCAATTTAGCCAGATGCACAATAAACTCTAGTTCTTACTTTCTGAGAAATAAAAAAAATTTCTAGCCTGCATGATGCAGCAATTTAGTACTCAATTTTCTTAAATATAAAAAATGTGCTAAATACGTCTCCATGTTCATTTCAAACATGGAACACCTTGCCTTGATATTATGAATGCATTTTTAAATTTTAAACACACACAGGTATCAACAGCTATGGTTATAAGTTTTGCTTTTGACAGTATTAGCTTAAATGGTTTACCCCTGTGGAGAGTCAACTTTAGGGGTACTTAGGCACTAGGAAAGTATATACGAGTAACGTTTAGATAATAATTTACCCTGAAATATTTAGAGAAGAATGCTTAATTCACTTGTGCATCTTCTTTTCTAGCAATTTTTTCCAAACATTCCAGAAAAATAAAAATTAATGATATTAAAGATTCATGATGAATTTTTGTATCTTTGCCTCTTTCATAAAATCAATCACAACCAGCCCTGCATTTAGGCATCACAGTCTACAATCCCTGTCATTGTCTACAATATCAAGAGATATTTTCTCTTGTGGTTCATGTTTTTTTAGTCATATAAATACCTTCAATTTTATATATAAATATATAAACATGTGTGTAAAACGGCACCAGGCCTGCCCATAACACTTTTAACAGGAGAGCAGTAAACAGCTCTCCTATTTGTAGATAAATAAGAATAGAAACAAATGAAAAATTGATTTCAAGGAGAGCATTTTCCTTCTAAGAGCAATTTTGGAGAGTAATTTGTTGCTTCCCTCCAACATTTGAGGAGAGTCTGGAATGGAGCAAGAGCTATGGCTCTCCTCGTATGACCAGCCTGAACAGGATTGGTATTCAAAAGAGTATTTTAAACTCCTTCTTAAGTTGCTATCGAATAAGCTTATTGACATACGAATGGTAATAAATAAGGGGTTTAGAGAATAATTGTCCAAAACTGATATAACATAAGATAAATCTTCAAAAAACGTCTTCTTACCAAGCCCTAGTCCAGGAGAAACTTTCTAATGGGGCTAAAACCACAAACAGTAACATAATGTATATATATGCAAACCCAACAATAACACTTTCACAAATTGAGAGGCTCCGTCCACCCCCCCCCCCCCCCCCCTCCCTAGCCCTCTTGTGACCTTCAGTTCAGTTCTAGCTGAAGTTTTGATTTTATGGATGAAGCTATAAAGTTATTTCTTGAAGGTATTGATACTTTAGAGTCAGATGAGACCGAGAGAGGAGAAGAAGAAAGTGAGGCTGACTTTTTGATAGACTATGGGAATGAGGATGTTACTTGTTTGTACCGGTATTCCTATTAGCTCAGAAGAATAACTGTTTTGAAAAATTTTGCAGACGCTAATGTTTAAAGATTATAACCTTTGCATTAGTTAATATATATTGCAAATGTGTGGTTCATACAAAATTTTCTGGCATGACAATTTTTTGGATAACTCTGAATTTTGCAGTAATATTTTTTCAGACAAAGTTTTGTCCCAATGTTTGTCGTGCTGGAAATGTTTGTAATTAATGTACTTACAAAATAAGGACTTACTATTCCTTGCTGATTTGAATCCTCTCTTATGGTCAGAATGAACAAGCCAAATAGAAAAAATCTAAGTTAGGTTCTAAAAGTTATAAAAAGTTTGAGTTTCCTTCGTGTTTTAATAGCACTTGACATTCACAAGATCCTCCGAAAATAAATTGTAAACAATGTTTAGTTTGGTTGAGAAAAACATTCCTCTTCTGAGACAATTCCCATTACTGTGTACATGAGACTTACATTTTTGAAGGGATACTGACTTTAGGATAAAACCACAAAAATGAAATTATTATCTTTCATTGTCTTGACTGAAAGGTTTCAATGCAGTTGGCATAATAATGCCAAAACCCTTTCGAAACAGTACTTTATCTGGAAAATCTCTTCGCATGATTACACATTAACGCAAAATCATGCCACGGCTCTCAAAATTTATAAAACCTTACTTAACTTTGGGGTTGAAACAAATTTCGATTTTGAGTTTTACAGCATAAAAAACTGAATTTCATAAAGATTGGACAAGGATGGTCCGCATGGATGTTTTCATGGTAGCCCCTGAATGGGTAAATCAATCTCTGATCTGGTTTATAATGGGGTTTTACACAATTTTAAACGGCCTTCACTAAGTTTAACATGGGTTAAGCAAGTGGCTTAAAGACTGAACTTTTGAGCCTTCTTAAGAGGATGTGAAGAGAAGGACTGTTGGTAAATGCAATCAAAACAGAACTTGTATACTTGAGGATCTCTGTGGGTCATGTAAATAAATAAGTTCAGCTTGGAAGTTTTCAGAATTAAGCGCAAATATTCAGCTTTTAGTTGTAAAGGTCATAAGAAGTGCATACGAAAGATCTAGCCTAATTATGAATCAAAGCGACAGATCCTGGAGTCCAGTGGCTTGGATTGGAAGTACACGATGCGGTTCTGGAAAAGATTTCCACAGCGACACTTTTAAAAATTATACACTTTTTTCGCAAACAGTAATTCGCGCTAACTGACTAGCTTTCAGTTTTTATTCAAGTGAACGCTTGACATATGCCATCTTTAAACAAAACCAACGAAATTTCACATTTGGCAAGCTTGGAGGACAATCGCTTTGCAACCCAACATCAACATGCGAACACTAAGTCAACATTCCGCCAGCTAGGCACGAAAATCATCCAGACTTCAAACTGAAACACATAAATTCAATCTCAACATATACAGGTGAACAGGATGCAACAAAACCTATACTTTTCCAAACTCAGCTTGGAAAGGAAGACAAAGAGACGTTGAGCGCAATTGCTTCGACTTGATCGATAGACATTTCGTGATGTCATCTTGTTCAAGTTGTGTTGACAACGGACGAAGACGTTTTCCTTTCTGTTTTTAGAAATCGAGACAACAGTTGAGCGAGTATCAGTATAAACCAATGAAAGAATCAATAAATGTTCCAAGTTCTTATCCCTAGGTGCTGCAATTTATCTGAATTTTACGATAAGCAAAAGCGTTTCTCCTACAGTTTCGACTGGCCGAAAACTGCTTTCCTACTCGAAAACCTGATAGGGAAACAGTTGACTCGAGCCATTTCGGTTACAGATAACCAAATTTCAGCATAAATTGGTTGCAAATCTGTTGCAAAAGCTGATATGTAACGGATTATCGTAAGATACAGGAATGCCGAAAGTAACAAAGTTCCGGTGTGCCTTCTTCGGCGCCATGACATAAATGATTTAACTTACCGTAGGCCAGTGATGGAAGCCAGATGATAGTGGACAAGAATAAAACATAATTCATGCCGGACAGTGTTGTTGGATACCTCGATAAAATACCATTTCACTGCTTCATTCGATGGGCAGTAGAGCCAGCAAAGTCTCCACAACGTGTGAACCACAAGACTATGAGAAACTATTTGAAAAAACAGCCGAATAATGTCTTGAGCATGGTAATTACTTACACTCAAATCCGAATTCGCTTGATCGCGCAAGCACGCTATTAAATTACACCTGGGGAAGATAGAGCCCCTGCGCAGTAGCCGTGAGGCCCTTGGCCCTTCTAAACGTGATTATATTAGATTGGGCAATTTTAACCTAAATATATAAACACTTTTTTATAAGAATACCTATTTTTTGTCAAGTCTCGATATTCTTGAAAACAATTGATTTTTAGCCTAAGATCGTTCTTAAATCATTCTTGTACGAGGTGTATTTTCGCTCAAACGAAAACAATTCAAATCTTTTTTATGTGTTGCTTCATCATAAAATTAAAGAACAGCAGAATAGAACGACAAATGTGGTATTAAAATACAAAATCTAGTCGCTGAGTAACATTATAGAGTTAATCACAGAATGAATGAGTGCATTTCAAAGTGTAATGTATAAACAGTGTGAATGTTACAGCTCTTTGCTTTTCGAGAAAACTGAGATAAATTAACAAATTAAATCTTCATGAAGCTTGAGCCTGGTATTTTTCTTGAATTATTCTTGAATCTTTGCGATTTTGAGCCTCAATATTTCCAAGACTATATTTTTATAAAAAATGTGTTTATTTAAAATGTGTGTATATTCTCGTTTTTTTTAAATGAACATTCAAACTTAGTGTCATCAAATTTTTTAGAAAATTATCGCTCAACTTCAGCTGGCACATTTGTTTCTCACTTTTCAGGAGTTCAAAGCCAGAGAATCGTTTGACTGACAGCGCTCGTTTTGTTAAACAGGGTCTTTTCCGTTCGGGCGGACGATGTTCCCCTGAAAACAGAAAACATACCAGATTTGAAAAAAGAATACTTTTGATTATAAAGACCTCAAAAACAACCCCTGCTAGAGAAGTACCATATTTTTATTGTTCTGTCAGTTTATTTAGTGCCGTCAGAACGAAATTCACACAAGAGAAGGGGCTGTCCATCGAATTGTTCCTATCCATTACACTGGTATTAAGAAAATAAAGTACTGTTTTGCGATTATTGGGGGGGGGGGGGTTGCAGCCAAACCGTTTGGGGGTGTCTAAACATGCTAAGAGCAGGCAAAACTTTTCATGATTTCCGCTTTTTATATGCTGAAGTCCGCAAAAAGAATTCGGCAACAAAATTTCCGTCTCCTGCCTATTTTCTTCGAAACATTCTCGAAAACATGGTAAAATGGCTGTCTTTGTCAATGAACTACTGATATGAACTACCCATAACTAGCTATATAATATAAAGTTATTTGTTTCCATCCAGTCCACAATATTGTTGCGCCATCAAAAACAATGACAAAGGGTAGCATTCTAAGAATGGAGGATTAAGATAAAGCAATATGAGGACACTTTCGCAATATTCCTATCAAACAGGAATTAATCAAAGATCTGTGACCAATAAACATCATGTAAAACCCACTTAAAGGGGGCTTTCACCAACGTTGTAAGCAGAAATGCTAAAAAATACGGCAACGGCTGATAAAGTTAAAATTCTTCTTTTTGCAGCAATTGTTCGACTAACGACTGAAAACAACAAGTTTGACAAATAACGGCTAGCGACAGAGCTTCTAGCCAAGGATTAATTAAAGGTGCAGTGATGACCAATTTGTGCAGTGAAAAATCAAAAATGTGCAATGATGAATTGAAAAATGTGCAGTGATGAACTACTTCACTTTTCAGTTTGAAATACTCCAAATAATACTGATTTGGATGTTTTTAGAATAAAGACAAATGAATACAAACTATAATCAAGAGTCAAATAAGATAATAGAATCAACCTACGTGTGAAACTCAACTAAAACCAGCTTTAACAATAAAAATAATATACAGTTAATCACAAACGCACGAAGCTGCAGGGGTGCAAGCTCTCAATTTACCGACTGGTGTTCCTGGGTTTTGGGAGTGACCTTTCATTGTTGTACATACCTCATGTTGAGGGGCTCAATTTCCTCTCTGTAGAGAAACGCTTCGATTTTTGCTTTCCCTTACCTTTGACATGATAGAGCCTTAACATGATTCCCGAGAAGCCAACATGTTTCTCTGATAGAAAACCCCTTGTTTGCTTTAACGATTTCAAACACAAATGTTAACGATTTTGACGTACTTTAGTAAAACTGCTCATATGGTCATATCAGGTACTCCTTAGAATTTACTGACTGAATGTGACTTTTCTAAATTTGCCGACTGAGATTGTCCAAAAGCACCCCAAATGTTGCTACGGCCCGGCGTCCGAAATGTAGCTACTGCCCTACCCAAGGTACTACTGCCCCGGCGCCCCCAGTGTAAGTATTGCAAAAAATTCATACCAGTATTTGCGAAAAAGCTATTACCTCTTTAGATTTTTACTGTTTACGAAGATGAGATTTTTAAGTATACAGCTTCCTCAGACATATTCTTTTAAGGAGGGGGGGGGGGGATGGTTGGGAGACATATCAGTAGTGTATAGGAGCAGTTTAGGGGATTCAGAAATAAATTCTTAGGAAGCAATATATTAATTTTTAGATTAAATTATATTAAACCTGGACCTTTTTTCGTCCCTTTTGGGCGACTTTTGGGCCAAAAAATGATCTATTACTAATTTTTAAAGCATTTCGAATTGTGCATTGTTCTAACATGTTAAATAAATATTTGAAAATCACAGTGAAATAACCTTATTATCAATTTCAAGGAGCTCCTGTTTTTCTTTTTCAGGTGAAATGAAAATAATTTTCGACAAGATTCATTTCCACTTAATCTTTAAAAGAAGGATTTTGAGCAGATTCTTATAATAAGGGCAATCACTACTACTTGCATTTGGAGGCTCGATTTTTGTAGAGCGTTTTGTCATAAAAAAATGTTTCCAGGCCCAGGGAACATGTGGTTTGTAAGAATACTTTCAGTTTCTACATTTTCTTCCAACGATTTCTGTTGAGATAACACACGCAAGTGGCACAAAACGAAACTAACATCTTTAAAAGGGAGGGGTAGGGGTGCTTATACTAAGGATCCTCATTTAAGAATGGATGTTTCTTATTGTAGGAGCACATCACACTTTGCCCTTAGGTGTAAAAACCTTACACGTTAGAGAAACAAGGAAAATGAGATGGCTCTTCCGGGGCTTTTGCTCTTTGGCTATGTGCACTTAAAAGCATTTACTTTGCTTCGTCAACGCGTTAGTCGAGAAAGGAACTCACTTTAAATTGAAAGGTGTCGACAATACAATAAATCAGAACTTGCCGGGCCTATTTGAAGAAAATAATAAAGGAGCAATCATTTGTTAAACTAACATTTAATTACATATCTTTACATAACATATTGGACGTTCTTTCAATAGGTAATTAACACCATATATTCTTCCAAAAAATGACGTTTTGGTAAATTGATTTTCAATATGGTGTAGGAAGCTTCAAAATTGAATTAAAGTAAGATATCACCGGAACATTTGCAGACCCCAGTCAGGGCTGTCACTACGGGGGAGGGGGTTGTGGAGTGGTGTGAAGTGAAGGATAACGTTTTTTGTTGGCAAATACCGTAAATTCTCGAATTGGCCCCCCTCAAAAAGTCACCCTCCCTCGAATAAGCCCCCACCCTAGAACTAAAAATTGTCAATAAGCCCCTCCCTCGAATAAGCCCCCACTGCTACCGTAAATTCTCAAATTGGACCCCTTAATTTTATGGTTTTTTCCATCTGGGGTTGCCTTCGGCGTTTTATTGAATTAGCGCAAAAATTTTAAATTTGGTGATAATTAATTAAATGCTCATGAAAAAATTCCTACTAAAATAAACAGGGTATTTTAATAATGTCTTCTTAGTGTCTACAATAATTTAATAAGCCTCCCCCCTCGAAAAAGCCATTATCCAAAAATATCAAAAATAAATAAGCCCAAGGGGGCTAATTCGAGGATTTACGGTAAAGGATGGCTCACCCACATTTTCGGCAAACCAGATTGGGGCACTCCCTCGTAGATTAAAGCTAGCAACGGGTCCAAATATCTGTTATTACCCAAACCCCATGGATGCCCGTTCTGTTTAAGACCATGGGAAAATGAAATACGTTTTTACAAAATGTTCATACACGCGGGAGATGGATTGGAAATAACAGAATCAAATCCAAATGTTTCAAGAAAGAACAAAAATACTCAATCTACTTATTCATGGGAGCAGGATCCCGAGTTTCTCACTTTTTTTGCTTCTCTGGGTGCCAGAACCTGAGAGAGTCAGAAGATAAAGAACGGGGGAAAGGAATTGCGAAGGAGAATGTAGAGGAAAGGAGAGAGAGAAGGTTTGTTCTTGCGTGAAAAACTTCATTTCCCTATTTACGGCCTCATTAAAATATTACCCCGAGCTTCATTGAAAGACATTTATAGTTCTTGCTAAAATAAATCTGAGCGAAACGGTTTACAATCGATCACTAACTACTCTCAGATCTATAATAAAACGTTAGCTTTATATCGTCATAAAACCAACATAAGGAGCAATAGTTGAACGAATAAGGTACATGTAGATCCAGATTCTAGTCGAAATCTAAGCAAATTTCCAAGAGCAGACTTGTCTTCTTTTTTCCCAGCCAATTCATCTGACGTTTGGGATTTTTCATGGAGGTCTCGTGAAACTAAAAGTCTGCTGTGTTTCTGATTGGCACACTGTGATGATTCGCAAAGTAGCCCGTTTACAAGGTAGCAAAGACCCAGATACAACGTTTTGTTTGAGGGGGTGGGGGTGGGGGGGGGCACAGTTCTGATAAATAAGTGTAGCAAGAGCTATATTTTACTAAATAAAAGTACTTTACTTTTAAAGCCATTTATGCCAGTTTTTGATGGTCTGTGACGCAGGCTAGGCTTGAGGGGCAGATGCCCCATTTAATTATAATTCAAAAGGTTATGTATATGCTAGTTTTTTTGCATTTCGTGGGAGTGCAAATTACAAAAACAGCTTTTGCATCTTATATTAATTTTCTCTTAAAAAATGCACGTTGCTTATATGCCCTGGCACTACCAACATGACAAAATACCACAAACGCTTTATATTGAAAACAAACGGCTTTCGACAGCCGGAAAGGGAGGCTGGAATTAGGATTTCCTGGGTTGTGCACTTCAACAGCCCAGAACAACCAAAGACTCTCGTCAACAGTCTTTCAGGCCCGAGTTACACGAAGTCGGATTGGGTTCACTTCGGATAAGGGGTTTCATTCAGTTACACGATCCTGAAGCAATCCAAAGTACTTTGGTGGGACACCGTAACCGGAGTAACAGTGACTCCGCTCTGGAGGTGAACTGAAAATCAATCCGAAGTACATCTTCGCATCAGTGGTGGCGCCAGAGGGGGGGCAGGGGGGGCTACAGCCCCCCCGTCGGAGGAGGCTAGCCCCTCCGTCGGAAGATAAATTATGCTTGAATTTTTTTTGTCGGAGCGAATTTTTTAAGTTTTGGCGGAAATAGAAATTTCTAAAAGGACTGTTATCAGAATTCAGGAAGCTCATCCCAAAACAACTCATCGACACATCAATTTCATGGTAAATAATAATCTGTTATAAGAAGTTTGAATTGGTTGTTTAGATGTTCAGTACCAGGTGTTTTCCGCATGCTGTTAAATTTGATCTTATGTTATGGATAGTGCAGTTCGTCCAAATCTTGCTTGCTATAACCAACCTACAACATCGGAATATTTTTGTGCGATAGCGATATGGCAACAAATGTTACCCGTTTCAGTGTTAGATGTAGTATATGTAATGACGTATTTAACAATGATTACGCTGCCCGCCACACGAAGTCCAAGCACAAAGATTTGGCTGCAATGGGAAGGACTGCTCCTACGACGGCAATAGTTGAAACGGACTCGCAGCAGAGAAAAATAAAAACATTTTTTCAATCAAAAGGCGGTACTTTTCCAAAGAAACGAAAGGTTAATGATTTTGAAACTGAAAGAACAACAGAAGACCCCGAAGAACAAGAAGTTGAAATTTCGAAAATTCAAGACGAAGAGCAAATCGAACGTGGTATGTTATACGTTTTAATATTTAAGTCCTTTTAATACGAGGAAAAACACTTAGCAAAGGGCTTCAGCCATAAAAACAATCAAACTCATTTACGTAGTAGCTAAGCCATTTTACCCCATCCCAACCATACATATTTGTAGTGTTTTGCTTCTACGTACACGTTTTTTTATTTATAAGAAACTTGACTCAAGCCCAGAGTACTAATAGTTTCCAAATTTCTTATTTTTTACTATTTTTAAGGGAAACCATCTATTACTATTTACGATAAATCCTTCTAGTTTTTTTTATAAACAAGTTCCTTATTAAGAAAAAAACGTGTATTTTTATAGGAAACCTAGCTCTCCAGAAATTAAAAGTTTCTTATTTTCGGACCTATATAATATGGGATTTCACTGCGACTGCGACATATTTAAACAAATATACCTGGCTATGACTGGATGAGGAATAAACCTTGTTAGACGTATAAATTTCTTCGTTTTATTTACAAATAAAAATAATTTTTTGGATGATTTTGATATTAAGAGTCACAAAAGATTGATTGATTGAACGAAAAAAACATAAAGATCATGAAAGGCATAACTGCATTGGCCCCCAAGTCGAAAAGCTACTTGGACCCAACAACTCTTGTCAATTTTGCTGAGCTTTTTCAGTCTGAAATTGGTGCACTACGCAGTGAAATTGCCACATTTAAATATATGCTCTCAAGAAAAGAAGAAAAACACCGCCCAAGCACACTTCTGCAACTAGAGGCACACTTGGAAAAGCTAAATGAAGCTTTCTTTGAGCTGCACCGGCTTGTATCCATCGCATGCACTTTGCCAGTCTCTTCAGCCGAATGTGAACGCAGCTTCAGCTCTATGCGCCTCATCAAGAGTGATCTGCGCTCACTTATGAAGGACGAGCGTCTAGACAGTCTGATGATGCTAGGTATTCATCGTGCCCGTGGAAGTGCTCTTGACTTGGACTCAGTAGTAGACAGATTTAAGGCTAAGTTCCCGAAGAGTAGAATTGCTCTGTGAAACAATTTTGATTCTTGGACTTGAATTTTCGATATGTAGAAGTGCGTATTCCACCGCTTAGGTCTGTTCCTATAAAGTTACGTTGTGTTCCAGTTTTCCTTAAGTTCAGTTGGTTGCTTTTTATTTAAATTCATACTTTCCAAAGATAGGCCCTACTTGAATTGGCAACGTTTGATGAGTTGTAAAGATTTAGAGTAGTTTTAAGCTTATCTAGAGGCAGCTTTCAAAAAAAATTTCCAGGGACGCCGGAGAAGGGGGGCGCGGGGGGCAAGCGCCCCTCCTGCCCTTTGCTAGGAGGGGCAAGGGAGGGGGCAAACGTGCCCTTAGTAATATGTCAAAAAACGTAGTAAAAAACACGATTACACCATTTTGATAGCATTTTTAGCCAATCTAATGGGTGTAGCCACCAAAATTTTCCCGGGGGAGTACCCCCGGACCCCCCGAATTTTCGGCTCGCAACGCTCGCCTTCGGTCTCCAGTACCCTTACAATTCCTTGTCGCCCCCTAGCCCTATCGTTCTCTAAAAAAATTAGCCCCTCCGTCGGAAGTGCTAGCCCCTTTGTCGGAGGAAACCTAGCGCCACCACTGCTTCGCATTCCTTCTCGTGTAATCACTAAATACGAAGTGATTTTCACTCCGAAACCTCGTTCCAGATCACGATGCCTCATTTCGAGGCTGAATGTGCAAAATGTGCGCGCTCTTTTAAGAAGGAAATACTCAGCATAAACACGGCTGACATCAAATTGTTAATCAACATTTTTCTTGGCATGCTTCCGGGTTTCACCACTTTAATGCAGCAGAACATCATGTTATTTGAGTTCATTGCTAACAACAATCTGGCACGAAGAAAATTTTTAATGAAACAAACAGCTGCTTGTAGCTATTGCATTAGGTAAAGGAGAAAAATTAAGGCCCAGCGTCGCTTCTGGCTTAAGCCCGGTCGCTGCAGTGGCTGGTGGTCAAACCTAAAAAGAACGGGCTTATAGAAAATGATGAAGAGTGGCGACTAAGAAATATATTTAATTTGTTGTGTTATGAACTGCGTCCATACATTGAAACATAGCAATCTGACATCGTGTAAGAGCGAAGCAAAAGTCAATCCGAAGTCGTGTAATCACTTGGAAAAGCAAAGTGCAACTGCTTCGGATTGGAGTGGGCAATCCGAAGCGAAAACCACTTCGACGTCGTGTAACTCGGGCCCCAACTCAAGTGTTTTTTCATGGAATCAATACATTAACCAGGTCAGCGACATAAGTTGCCTGTATCTATACGCACACATAACCCCCGCACACGTTATACTGTCTTCTGTTGCCTGTAAAATGTTTTGTTTTAGCTCGTCTATACCAGTGGCGTCGCCAGCCCAAAAATAAGGGGTGGACAAAAATGCGCTGAAACACCTTTTTTATCTACTGTGTTTCGAAATTTTTGGAAAAGCAATCTGAAATAGTATTTCGAGAAGCAGCAATCGAATAGTTTTAAACGGATTTTGAGAAATTAGAAAATCGACCTCTGGGAAGACTGGGGTGGGCATGTCCATCTCGGCCCACCCCTTTGTGGCGCCAGTGGTCTATACATAATGGAAACGCTCCAATTACCTTCGGTTTTTTGTGTTGTCTTTTTCTATCCGAAAAAAGATTTTTAGCTCTTTCCTAATAACGAAACCTTTAAGACGCTCGCAGTACTAAAATCATTTATCAAGAACAGATTATTGTTTTAGTTACGTATACATCAAAATGTAAGAACGGAGTATAAACCCCGAGCATACTTTCTTATAAAAATGTGTTTGTAAAGACGAAGAACAATTTCCAAGATCATGTATTTCTGAGCCACACGAAAATCTTTTTTTTATGAAACTAAATCTACTAACGTATGGAGGACACCGTCTTTCTCAGTTGCTCGATCGAGAATTTTTGCGACAGATGGCATAATTAACATAAAGCTTTAACGAACAATTGATTTTACTTACGAGTTATTTGAGATCTTGTTTGATTTTTTTAATCAGTTTATTATGATCTTCCACTCAACATTCAATATGCCTTTCCAAAATTACAATGGCAAAATCGCAATATGTGGAAATCTCAACACGCTTAGACCTCATCTCATCCCGGGCTTAGACATCAACGCGGGTTGAACAATACCGGCAAAAAATTTAAGATTTGGGGTGCTAAAAAAGAAGAGGTGAAATGTGGGGCATCGAAGGTATTTGATAATTAGTCATAATCATAATCATATAGCGTGGTCTGATTTGCCAAGTTACGCGTAGAAAAGAAAGGGGCGAATTGAAATACAAGCCCGTGTGGAACGCAGCCTCGGCTGGAATTTATCTTGTAAATGGCCTTTTCACGACCGCTCGATAAAAAACTCATGCCTGAATTACAGATGTGTTACGATCTTTCAAAACCTTTATTTACAGGTAGACTAGAAATCAAATGTACTTTCGAATGAGTCAGCTTTTGCTGTCAATGAGCATGCGCACTGAACATGGTTATTATTGCATAAACTCGATGCGCAAAATAAAGGGGGCTAGGTCACTCATGACAAAACTTTCGCCCTTTTGTTTCCCAATTAGATATTTGTTATAAAAACCGATTTTAAATGCGCGTGTACAACTTATTACAACTTAAGTATAAACAGTCATGGGGTTTTGAAAGCGCGTGTACAACTTATTACAACTTAAGCATAAACAGTCATGGGGAGATATCAAGTCTAAATGCCTTTCTATAACACTGGTATCAATTTTGCAATATCAATATCAAATACTGCTTGAATGTATTATTAAAAGAGTCCGTTGAAAAGAGTCTGAGAAGACTGACTTTGCATCATAAGCAAGCATTTTTTAGTGAAAACAGTTCAAAGATATCTATAGCACCAAAATGATGCTGGAAAAAGAAATTATGTCAAATAAAACTGTCAGTTGCTTGCCAAAGGATTTATCATTCTCTTTTTGTCAACAGACTGAGGAGTTCATCGCTTGACTAGCCATATAAGATAAAGCTAGGGTCTATAGCTCAAGCTTGTTGACAATAGCCGAGTCAACGTCTTCTTCTGTCTCTTGAGCGGGATCGCCCTCTTGGAGAGTAAGAGCGTCTTCTATCTCTACTTCTGGAACGAGATCGTGATCTGTGCCTCCTCTTGTGTCGTCTCTCCCTGTAATCATCAGACGGACTGCGTGCTCTGTCATCTCTGTCTCTATCACGATCAGTTTTTCCTTTGGTCATAAGTCGTGCTTCCAAGCTATGCAGACAATCCTGTAAGGATTGGACCAATACTTGGCTCGACTCAGTATTAGCCGTTGATGACTGTTTGATCAATGAAATGGCTGTCACAAGAGTTTCGATACCACTTTCATAATCTCCTTCATTGGCATCAGCCATAGCCCTTTGTATAGCAGTGCTTGCCACTGCCTGGTTCCGCCTCATTGATTCTAAGTCTACGTCTCCCATTCCAGGCCCAGCCATAGACATTCGTATCCCTGCGCCAGCACCAAATGGATCAGCAGATCCATCTTGCGGCAGGAAAGCTGGATTCACGTGGGGTGCAACACCTGGTTTCGGCATTTGCTGTACTGCATTTACTTCCGGTCTCTCGTTAACTTGTCCAGGAACCGTGGGCTGTCCTGTTGGATGCATTGATACAGGAACACCAGCCATCATGTGGTCTGTATGTGGAATTGGTCCAACACCAACATTGCCTGGCAAACCGCCAGCATTGGGGATCATCCCTGGAACCATGCCTGGAAAAGCCATACCGGGTGGACGCATCATATTTGCAGGATCCATTGGTGCCATGCCAAAATGTGGAATTCTTGGCATTGCATTATGCATGCCAATGAAGGGTTGATGCATTTCTCCATGCATACCAGGACGAACACCGGGCTGCATTCGCGGGGGGAATCTCACAGGAAACCGCATGTTGTTTGTAAATGTATTGCGTTGCTGGACTACTGGATTCTGTTGGTCCTGATCACCTCCTGGAGAATCTAAAAACAAGGATGACATTGTTACTTTTTGGTACTATTTTTTGGAAGAAACAAAACTGCTTGCTGTTGAGGCAGCGACTTCTAGCAAATGCAGCATCTAACCCAGAGTATAAATAAACAAATTGTATAATCAACATAAAAGAGCAAAAAAATATCTTATGTTTATTCAAGAACGCAATAAATAATTTTTAAGAGTTTTATAAACTTTCTGGCCTAAAACGCCTTACACCATTCCCATAAATCTGTATAACTTTGCATTTTGAAGGCAATCGACAGATACGAAAGGGCTTGCACCATCTTTCAATCAAGAATTGACCAATCAGGAGATGTAATTCCACTCACACGCTTGGTGATTGGCTAATATTGATTGACATACTGCTTAAATAACTTTTTCATCAATCGAATGCCTTTTGGGTATTTTCTATCTGTCGCATGGTCTGTAAGGTATGACTAAATTAAATATACTTTTAGAAGTTGACCCTAGCTACGATTATCACACAAGTAATGAAGACCTTCTTTGAAAACTTTCCAAAAACTCTCAAGGAGACAAGCCTAGTTACTGCTTAGCGTAGAAACATTCAAACATATATCCCAAATTGGAATATCCTCTGTTGGTCACCATTCTGTGGTGAATGCATTTTAAGATGAGAAACAAATACAACGCATTTTGAATTTACCCACTTTTTTTTGACTGATTTTCAAACATAACCAGGTTGTGTTTGCTGACATGTGTTACAACAGGCTTTTGACCATGTAGCTCTCTGAAAAAAGAAAGAAAACTTTCAACTATGACCTGTCAAGCGCCTTCTAAAGGCCAGTTTCCTTTGAATTCATCTCAATTTAAGCGAATGACAACTGCTACTAGTAAGGGGATTGAAGTGAACGACAACTGCTACTAGTCAGGGGATTGAAGTGAACGACAACTGCTACTAGTCAGGGGATTGAAGCGAACGACAACTGCTACTAGTAAGGGGATTGAAGTGAACGACAACTGCTACTAGTAAGGGGATTGAAGTGAACGACAACTGCTACTAGTCAGGGGATTGAAGCGAACGACAACTGCTACTAGTAAGGGGATTGAAGTGAACGACAACTGCTACTAGTCAGGGAATGAAGTGAACGACAACTGCTACTAGTCAGGGGATTGAAGCGAACGACAACTGCTACTAGTCAGGGGAATGAAGCAAACGACAACTGCTACTAGTCAGGGGATTGAAGCAAACGACAACTGCTACTAGTCAGGGGATTGAAGCGAAAGACTGCTAATAGTCAGGGGATTGAAGTGAACGACAACTGCTATTTGTCAGGGGATTGAAGCGAACGACAACTGCTAATAGTCAGGGGATTGAATTGAATGACAACTGCTACTAGTCAGGGGATTGAAGTGAACGAGAAATGCTACTAGTCAGGGGATTGAAGCGAACGACAACTGCTACTAGTCAGGGGATTGAAGCGAACGACAACTGCTATTAGTCAGGGGATTGAAGCGAACGACAACTGCTAATAGTCAGGGGATTGAAGCGAACGACAAATGCTACTAGTCAGGGAATTGAATTGAACAACAACTGCTACTAGTCAGGGGATTGAAGCGAACGACAACTGCTACTAGTCAGGGAATTGAATTGAACGACAACTGCTACTAGTCAGGGGATTGAAGCGAACGACAACTGCTAATAGTCAGGGGATTGAAGCGAACGACAACTGCTACTAGTCAGGGGATTGAAGTGAACGACAACTGCTACTAGTCAGGGGATTGAAGTGAATGACAACTGCTACTAGTCAGGGGATTGAAGTGAACGACAACTGCTACTAGTCAGGGGATTGAATTGAATGACAACTGCTACTAGTCAGGGGATTGAAGCGAACGACAACTGCTAATAGTCAGGGGAATGAAGTGAACGACAACTGCTACTAGTCAGGGGATTGAAGCGAACGACAACTGCTACTAGTCAGGGGAATGAAGCAAACGACAACTGCTACTAGTCAGGGGATTGAAGCAAACGACAACTGCTACTAGTCAGGGGATTGAATTGAATGACAACTGCTACTAGTCAGGGGATTGAAGTGAACGACAACTGCTACTAGTCAGGGGATTGAAGTGAACGACAACTGCTACTAGTCAGGGGATTGAATTGAATGACAACTGCTACTAGTCAGGGGATTGAAGTGAAAGACAACTGCTACTAGTCAGGGGATTGAAGTGAACGACAACTGCTACTAGTCAGGGGATTGAATGCGAACGACCAACTGCTACTAAGTCAGGGATTGAAGCGAACGACAACGCTATTAGTAGGGGATTGAAGTGAACGACAAACTGCTAATGAGTCAGGGGATATTAGTTGGAACGGACAACTGCTACTAGTCACGGGGATTAAGCCGGAACGACCAACTGCTTACCTAGTCAGGGATGAAGCGAAACGAACAAAAACTGCTACTTAGTCAGGGGATTGAGTGAAAACAACTGCTACTAGTCAGGGATTGAAGCGAACGACAACTGCTACTATCAGGAGGGATTGAACGAACGACAAAACTGCTACTAGTAAGGGGATTGAACGTGGAACGCACAACT